CATATATATATATAATTTTTTTCCTGTCATTGATTATGCACTAGATTTCAGTTTTCCAGTGTACCGAAAATCGTTTTCAGCTATGTTTTGAAATCATCGTGTTCAGTTTTGCTCTCAATAACCCGTTGACGTTGGGCCCTCGTAAGATTAACTATTCATAATGGCTTCACAATTGACAGTTATATGCACCTGATTTTGGACAGAAGTACAGATCTGTAGAGCGCTGGCACCAACACGAAGAAACTGAAGTGCGGCGTCGGCGGAATCGATACCTCCAGTGGCGAGAATGGGAAAACCGGGAAGAGCCTTTGCAATGGCTGAGACAGCACGTAAGGCAATCGGTCGAACTGCATTACCGCACATACCGCCGTACGTTGTCCTTTTTTCAACTCCTACAGCAGGCCAAGCATCACCTTGCCCATTTAAATTCATGAGTCCCGAAACTGTGTTTACTGCTGTGACTCCGTCCGCCTTTCCTATTACAGCATGTAAGCATGCATAAATTGACATATTAAGTACTGCCAAGTTTTTTTTTGAGGTTTATGGTAAATCAATATACTAAGTTAGTAATTTCTGGCACAAGATGATTTTTAGATATTAATTTATTTCAATAGTTGCTTGGCAAAAATTTCCTACAAAATCTGTCACATACATTTCGTGAATAACGATTATTTAAGTTTGGTCTGTCGCAGTTAAACTTACCTTCGTATGCTGCCTTGGCAATATCGACAATGTTGGTAACGTTAGGCGTGAGCTTAGCGAAAAAAGGCACCTTTACTGCCGCTCGGACCCATTTGCAAATGCTACGTACCAATTCCGGGTTCTGTCCGCAAGCCAAACCCATACCACGTTCACCCATACCATGCGGGCATGAAAGATTTAACTCAAGAGCATCCGCTCCCGATGCCTCCGCCATTTTCGCCAACTCAACCCAATCATGTTCGCTGTACGAACACATAATAGAAGCAATAATCACCTGGTACCAGATGAAAGAACATATATTTAGTAATTCGAGAAAAAGAAAAAATTTATTTCCTTAAAAACAGATGTATTTTTAGCAAAATGGAAACGAAGCCTTGTCCGCTAACGAACACTTCCTGACCCAACTCTAATTAGGTTTCCTATAATCGCACTTTAACAGTGTCTTCGTTATCAAAAACAATTTGGAAAGCCAACTGATGTTGAACCTATGTTGACAAAGATAAATCTACGTTTAGAGATGGCCCCCAGGCGATTCGATGCTGACAACCTAAGGCTATGTCCCGAAGTGTTCGTGAAGACCTTAATAGACACATACTCATAACATCGAAATAAACAGATTCACTCGATTGAAACACCTGTGCTTTGCCATGAGAAACAATGCGCTTTTCTTACCTGCTCCAAACACATGCTTTAGTATATCTAACGAGTTTGTAAAAAACAGTCTCCGAACAATTCGACTCACATGATCGGGATAGTCCTTTTTTAGCTCTTTGACGCTGCCGCACCAGTAGGCTGCCGTCTTTTCAGAGATTAGCTCTATGTTCAGAAACGATCCCTGATTGGGTCCGTATTGGTGGCCTGACGTTATACCGCGAACTATTCGTGGAGATACGTTGGTGCTGACATCCTAGTAACATCGAAATAAAGTGAACATTTTTCTGTTTATTTTCTCCACAAACCACACTGGCTGTCTAATATATCCAATGCGGCTACTGAAAGATACGTCGTCACTATTGAACGAATACTTATTAATATAGCACAGAAGGGCAAAATAAACAAGATCAATCAAGGCATCACCAACTCGTGCAGTACGTATGCATCCTTGACCTCAAACAGACCGAAGTGGAACCTCTTTAATATATTTCTATTAATCGATAGCTCCTTCCGATAATATACATGGCTACGTTGCGGTTAGAGTGCAAAATAGGCCATACCTTATCGAGACTAAACGTCTTCGTGAGTGCAAATCCCCAGCCGTTTTCAAAGGCTCGCCGAATCATCGCTGAAGTCGTCGTAGGCGGTGCGGAAGCGAGACCGAATGGATTCTTGAACTTGATGCCACATATTGTTACGCTCACATCAACTGAGTCGATAGGCGTATAGAACTTCGGCAAGCTAAAGGCACAAGTTCGTAGAAATGAATAGTAGGAACAATTTGAAGCTTCCAATTCTTATCCTTTAATCGTCAAGTTTAAAAGCTTTAGATAGCTAAATAGCCAATGCACAACAATCTCTGCTTTGTTTTTTTACTTTTAATGTAAACAATTATTGATTAACAGAAATTAGTAACCACACGGGGCTTCAATAACGGCTTATGTAATACTATAGGGATTATACAGAGTTGCTAAAAGATTGTCGATTAACGGGAATTGAAGCGGGAGCGAACTGTAAGGTAGTGTTAAGGATGGAAAACTAAGAGTATCTCAGGAAACTAATTGCTTCCAAAGTCAGTGATACTATCGCGTCGCATATATATATATTAAGATTTCTCACCAAGGCACGTCAGGCACTGTTAACCCGTGCAAGTTTTGAACGTATTGATGTAACGTCCACGCTGCGGTCTTGCCATCGTTAACAGCTTCGACGGTGGTCCCTGCCACACCGGCGATGTCACCTCCTGCGAAGACCCACGGTTCGCTAGTCGTCATCTTCATTGGGTCTACGTCCGGAAGCCCCCAGCGATTCATACGTAATGGAGCCAGTGCAACTTGCACTAAAAAAACAAAATGAAAATAATACTTTATTATTATTCTAAGATGTATGTGTTCGACTGATTTGATGGAGTTTGTTTACGTTGAGACGGCGAAATCTCAGAGCGCGTAGGTTTTAATATTCGAGGGTTTTTGGTTCCCATAGATCATCATGGTTATCTGTATGTCTAGGCACTATCGTACGTAACAAATTTTAAATATTCATGACTGAATATTCCTCTCAAGTCGGCTGTACCTTTGATAAAAAGAGGCCCGACAGAATTTCTTATGCATTCAATTTGGTAAGGTTCATTCAGTGATAATTGAGCCATTCATGGAAGCAATGTGTTTTTATCAAGCGAGTATTACGTTAATTAAATGTAATGCAAAAACTATGATCAGTTAAAATAAAGGCGCCAAGTTACAGTTGTACATTGAAAATCAACATCTTTAAAAACAGGGAGCTATGTTATAGATCGGGCTCGACGTCCGTACGGCCTTAGAAATATATTTGGCAACCGTATTACGACAATGTCTAGGCTACCTGGGAAGTGGGAGAGATTCTTAAAGTGTACACAAAATTGCATTAATTGCGCGCATTTATAGACTAATATTAACAAAAAAAATGGCCTGCTTGATATCAAGAACGAGACTGCCAATACAATCCCATACATTAGAACGACGCTATTCTATAACGGTTATCGATTTCTGTATTCCAGAATTCTATGGCAGCTGGATAGACAAGTTACCATCTAGTAAAATAAGGTCATAGATAATAATAATAATAAATTATATTTTTTTACATAATATATTAAAATCTAAAGTTTATTATAGCGTTTCATACTGACCAACGTAATAGAATTATTTATATTGTGCCTATATTACATATAACTTTAACCCAATATAATCTACATGATTCACTAAAGTAACCAGTCATATTATCTATTAGTCGGAGCTCTTCCAATTGATATTTAAAGTTTTTTATCGTTTGTATAAATTTAAGGTAGACAAAACCTGCACCTGTTTGTGGTTGATGCTATGCTTTAATCTGTAGATTTTACTGAATATTATTTTTGTGAAATTTTTAGTAACATAGGCTATTTATTAAATCAAACATATTGAATACGTACAAAAGTAGCGTTACATAAAATTTTCACAGAAAATATATATTACAAAGAAACCTTTCTAGAAGTAGAAAATTGTCGAAGTTAGATGCATCAATGATATAGGACGGAAAACTTTAACGAACCTTAAAACAATTAGCTTGTTCATATGGCAAGCAGCTAAAATTGGTCAGTTACTATTTAACCCCAATCGAAAATCGTGCCTATTCGATGATTCGGGTTGTTCCCTTCTCGTTCGTGTTGCTGGGTTGGGAAGGTGAATAACCGCGGTGACCTCGCAGCTAAAGGCGAAAAAAGAAAAATTTGGGCATCTCTCAGCCGCTCCGACATTTCTTTGCGTGTGTGTTGGTGTGTGTGTGTGTGTGTGTGTGTGTTGGTGTGTGTGTTGGTGTGTATGTGTCTATGTGTGTTGGTGTGTGTGTGTGTGTGTGTGTGTGTATATGTGTCTGTTTGCGTTTGTGTGTGTGTGTGTGTGTGTGTGTGTGACCGTCTGTCTGTAGAGCTCCTGCGTCCCTATCCCTACGAGAGCTCCTGGCCCCATTGGTCCGCTTGAGGAATGTGTCTGCTGTCATCTTGCCTTTCCCCGTCTGTTCCGTATATTTCTACTATCTCAGACTTATCTGTCAATTAGATGAGAGTACTTTTTTTTTTATGTAATCCGGACTGTTGTTGAACTAAGTGTCTCGCTTCCGTTAAGTTACAACGTATGATTTTGCCATTTGTAATATAAAGTATCGAAGAATTTCAAACACATCGATCCAATGAATTGGCTATTTTCAGGTACTTGTTATGTGGACTGGTATAAAAGACGCTTGACGCATGTCCAGTACATTCACGATTATTTTATTTGAACTCTCAGTGTACATCACTGACAGAGGCTTAGAGGATACGAGAAATGTTCTCGCCCCTCCAGGCATTATCATCAATCATGCCATTGGTGGTGTGTTTCTATAATACAATGGACAGTAGCTTACTCTTCAGTCTAGTACACACGAAGCCAATAAGGAAAATTTGTTCTCCGTTGAGCCCCTCTTTTATAGCAGTCCCAAGCTAGTACTTTTGAGTACGCCAGAATTAACGTAATGATTACTATCTTCAGCATGTTATCATAGTAATAGCATTATTTAAAGGTGATACAGATTCTGCCCAAGATAGTGTGCCGTTAAGAAGATATTGACAAAATACAGCCGACTGCTTACGAAAAGTGGGTCAAGATAGAAAGACCGTGCCTGCAGTTATAGCAAGTGGCTAACGTAGAACTGCTGCCGATCCGTGAGCGGTACTAATGTTGTCTACGGACTCGTCAGATATAATCAAAATGTCGAAGATGTTCACCTTGAGCCAAGAGCTTGCTTTTTCAAATAATAAGTCCCAGTGTCATTTGCGATTTTAAATCAATTGTAAAATTAAATTATGTTTATGCATTAACATAACCCTACCACTAGATTCGAAAGTTAATCGGGACATAAAGTGCCATGGGATATATTCGAATGATACGTTAAAACTGCCAACGGCACCAGTACCCCTTATTTATTTCGTTCCGAAATAAGTACGAATGTGCATTGTATATATAATTGCTTGTTTTTCTTTGTATGTTACAAGAAAAAGTATCACGATTTGTACCTCGGTAGTAACAGTAAGTTGCTGCGATATGCATCCCGTCTTTTCAAGGGTAACGGACTTTATCTCGAAAGAGTTTCTCAATTACGTTTGAGTTGCTAGTTCGTCAAAAATTAGAACACAAACATGACTGTCTAGTGAACGGAAAATGTGCAAGTTTGATGGCAAAAAATGCGTAGAAGGGTATGGAGGGTAGACGGACCAAAAGCCCCATTCAAAGTCGGACTTTGACGATGTTGGCCGTATGTGGCCTGACGTTGACATGGAGCAGAATGACCTGATTTTAATTGTCGGGTCTTCTCTCTGAAATAAGCTGGTTGACGCAACGCAACCGGGTGACATCAACGCTCTGGTTCGTAGGAAGCAGCTCCCGGTAAATCAGGGTCTTGCAATATCACCAAACGCAAAATGTGGCTTTCTTTAGATAAGGTCTGGCCAAACTCTAGGTTTTGCCAGGGCCACAGATTTTGATCTCTGATTCATGTTGACACACAGGTATTCCTTCTCATCATCAGTGGCAACTTTATGCAGAAATCGGTCATTGTGACGCGTGATGCTCGACGTTTTGAGATGCAGCATTAAACCGTGATTGTTGGACTCAGAGAGTTCGAGAGATACTCAAGCTCCAAATTTCTGCGTCAACCAGAAGGTCTTGAGATGGTTAACGGTAGTCGTGTGGCTGTTTGTAGAATATCTTCCTTATAGTATGCCGTCATTATATTAATATGTTATTATTAATAGGCAGTATTGGACTCTGGCGGTCGACTAGAGCGGACGACATTATCTAGAACCCGGATACCGCTCTGTAACAAGGGGTACATACAACTAACTCTTACGCAGTTCTTTAGCCACAAGAAAGGCAAAGGTGTCGGGCTGCTTCGACAGCGGTTTTTTTAACACACAGCAGATGCAGCGTTGTAAATACACACTTTTTCACCTGGAGCATCCATCTCCAAGGTCTCTCGAGTTGAGAACTTGCCATTGTAGCTCACTGATAGATCAAGGAGAGCGCTTTCGAACGGCGTGCCAAAAATAAAGAACAAGGTAAGAAAAACACAGAGGATATATATATCACTCGAGCATGAAATCGCGGTTGAAATAAAACGCGTATAAACGCGTGTTGGCTCAATTTGGAAGCTATGCTGCACTGATAATATAACCTTATATATATATATATATATATATATTTGTCTCAAATTGATCATATATGACCACTTTACCTAATTTGTTTTATTTGTTATAACTTGACTGTTAAGCTCTGTTTGGATTTTCTATAACTATTATAAAGTTTATAAGTTACTTTTTTTTTAATAATTTTAAAAAAGTTGAACAGCTCGTTTACGTTTTTACAACAGCTTGAAATTGACCTCTCCTGACCGACAGTAGCGTTTCACAGTCCATATGTCAGATATCCAACCCCTTTTATATTGGTGAGCGAATCTAACACGTGTACCTTTAATCTGACGACCACGGTTCTACAGTTGTATTAGGCTACGATGTTGTATGCCCGACGATAATCCCCCATGTTCTCTGACAGACAACGTTTTCTATTAAAACACTCCTCAATGGCTTAGGACTTCGGTTTCAATTCGTAATTAGACACATTTAACTGGACTTGCATGACCTCTGTTCAATATGTTTGTCCTATTATTCCGTGCGTTGCTACATGCTACCTAGCTCCCAAATGGAATCAACTGAAGTGGCCTGCTCCCATTATTTAATCAATTGATGAGTCAATGCATGTTGGAATCACTGTGTCACCTTCAAATGCATATCATTATAGCATCAATGATATGTAGATGATAGTCTGGCGATACAAACTGTGCCGATACATTCTCGACAGGGGCGGTGATGGCATCAATCTGTCACTTCTGGGAGACCTAACAGAGCTCTGCAGGAGGAAAAAAGCTAACTATCCCATTGAATATATACACATATATCTCAATAGAATACTTAATAGATGAATTTACTTTTGTTTAGCTTTAGCGTGGCAGCTATTTGTCATAGATGGAAAACGTTTCCTTGTAGCTTCCCCACCGCAATATTTGAGCAATGACAGCTATAAAATGTCGTAATGAAGCATGAATGAGAAGACCAACGTTGCTTAGGTCTGCATCCGCCCATGAAAACCTATTCCTAGAAGTGCTTAGCGAGCAAAATCTGCTAATATTCGTAGAATTAATTAAAATTGAATCAGATATGGCTTGTCGAACCCTGTTTTACCAGCGTCCGAAAAATACATGCTGTTCGCAAGCTTTGCGGTCTCCTTTTAGAAGTAATCGTTTGCTAAAGTTGCTATTTTTTATTGTATTACGAGTTTGTTACGTATGTTGCGCGTGCTCTTCGTTTAAGGGTTCTGCGATTGATTCAGCCACTTTTAGCATGGTTAATTTACGTAGTGTACATCTAATTTCTTTACGGGACCATTATGGAACATCCGTCGGCAAAGTACGATATTATTTCTTGTCTTTTTTTTTTGATAAGGAGCAAGGTCTTCACGGTGACCCACATATCCGTGGCCAACTTCTTCCCCCTGTTTTTCATTTGATCTTCGTCGGTTTCTGCATCTCGCGGATGGCGGAGCTTGCCAGAAGCAGACGTTCTCGAAACTGGTATAGTGAATTAGCTTTTTTCGCTGGTGCTCGGCTGTGGTCGGCAGCGTGCGAAATGTGGAAAGTGTGTCTGCGGTTCCGTTGCGCCTCGAACTTTTATGATGAGACCCTTTTGGTGGCGGATGCTGCCGCTGCTATTTCTGTTACGGCCACCGTCGCTGCCGTCGTCGCGAAAGAACTGCAGAACGGAGGAAGTGCAGTGAACCGATGCTTCGTCTCTCACCCTCGCCCTCATTCAGAAGGAGAAGCCACCGCGAGTGACTTCTACCAAAACTGGGTCCGGGCTCCGAACCACAGTACCAGGCAGTTTGAGTGACCCAGCGCTGCAGTCCGCTGCTCCCGCAACGATCGACAGCCGCAGCAGGCACTTGCCAGCCAAGAGTTCGACGTAACACTTTCTGTAGTGTGGTACAGTCCAATTTAGCAGGTGAGGAAGATTTGAGGTGTATTGGTAACTACGTCAAACAGTGTTATTAGTGACTTCGAAGGATACTTCCACGTTAGTGATACCGTAGAAATTGACACAGGCAATCCTTGCAGGAATCGAGCAAAACCATTTTTGCAAAAATTGTAAACAAGCCGTATTTTCGCCCCAGGCAGCAGACACTTTATTTTGAAACGCCTTATGTGAGGGGGATATGTGCTGTGTGCATTTGTTTCAAACGGCATCCTGCAAAGAATGATCAAATCCTGTTTTACTTTGATTATCTCCTTAGTTCCAGTCCAGGTCTTTAGCTATCTGCATAGAGGAGTCCCGCTCTCCAGAAGGGCTGTGACGATTTATATCGGCTACCGTTCTCTACACATATTTTCATTTGCAGCGTCCGTCATGCGCGGCATCTTGGTGTCGTGCGCCGCTCTGGCTTTTCTCGCGGTAGGCGTATGGGGACAAAGTTCATCAGGTTCGGGAAGCGGCATTTTCGGCACTCAAACTGCCCTTCGACCACAATCCATCACAGGACTTATTAACTTATTACGGTACCAAAACCAGCCGTGCGAAGGACGCAATAACCAAAATGGAACCTGTCTTGGCGAGCAAGATTGCGTGGACCGCAAAGGAACGGAAGTCAACCGTTGTGCCAACGGATTCGGAGTCTGTTGTTACGGTAAGATTCCTTACGCGTCGATGATCGGACTCAGTCTTATTTCTTTCCAGTTTCAAGTCTATGCCTCATGTAATGTGTGTACTAACTGCACTCCTTCCCCTGTAACATTATTGGTGGCATGCTTACCTTTGCTGGGCTTTTTCATATAAAATTCTTTGACTTATGGAGGACTGTTTTTCGTCAAGCGACAAGATACGTATCTGCGACCACCCGCCGAAATGACCCACATCGGCCGGCGGTCAAGAAAAGTGGAACTGTTATCGTTCACAAACGACAAGAGCAAGAAAAAGAAAAATAAAAACCGATATTTGGTTGACGCCCGTCACCTATTTCGAGCGTTCCGTTTTTGCCGTCTTCATGAAGAGCCGACCAAGCGGGTCAGACACGGGTCACCAACCACGACGGGTACGAGGTATTTTACACCGCTCGCCCAGAAATTAGCGCTACAGAGCGATGGCCTAAGCAGACCATTACACCCTTTTGGCTTTATGGCAGCGAACGATTATTAACCACTTCGCGATGTGTTGTCTATTTTCATCACAGTGTCCTTTACGTGCGGTAAATCGACATCGAACAACGAGACGGAGTTCGTCAACCCACACTATCCGAACGGCGAAAATGGGACTGATACGTGCCAGGTAACCATTGAGAAGCAGCCGAATGTGTGCCAGCTGCGTTTGGACTTCCTCGAATTCTCACTGGCCCAACCCGACGAGAACGGCCAGTGCATTACCGACTCGTTCATGGTGCGTACCACTGTCGGCGAACGCCTACCCATTCTTTGCGGAGAGAACGCCGGCTTACATCTCTACGTTGACATGGGCCGCAGCAGTGGAAACCCGGTCGTACTTTCCGTCGTTAGTAATGGCGCCATTATGCTTCGTCGCTGGCGTATTCGTATATCAATGATTCAATGCAATTCGCTTGATATCGCCCCGGCTGGCTGTCTTCTCTATTATCGTAGTCCGCAAGCTATTGTACGTTCATTCAATTATGGACCTAAGGTAGATAATAGAGTTCGTTACTTAAGCAACCTGCGTTACTCAATTTGTATTCGCGTCGAGGAGAACTTTTGTTCCATTAAATGGGAAACGGAGACCAACAATTCGTTTTCGTGGGGTAAGCCCATTCTGAACGGAGCTTCTGGCCCCGAGTGCAATGTCGACGATTTCATTGGTATCGATAGTGGCTCAACCCTAGGAGAGGGTCCTGGACAAGATAGGTTCTGCGGTGCAATGCTTGGAGAAGACAACGTTATTATATGTAAGTAACATCCGTGCTGTTTTTGTCAAAGTGTTTTTTGGTGCCACTGCATCATGACGTCACATATATTTGTACCCATGGTCCAATGATACGATTCTATTGTTGGAAGATCATGAGGCAGTCTATTCAGGAAATACGTAGCTAGCCTTCATATGAGACTCTTCATATTTTAAATTAGTTTTTGTCAAAACGTTTTTTTGTTTCAGCTCATAGCAAACCTTTTTTGCTGAAGGTTAAATCAAACCATGCCGCTTCCGATAACGCTGCCAACGGCCAGTACGGCTTCTCGCTTAGATACACTCAGCTACCTTGTGTCATCTAGTGAGGTAGGCCAAGATCACTGTCTGTTAGAGGGTATTAGGAAAAGAAATCAATGATTTCAACTATTTCATTGCCTCATCCGAAGTCGTGTTTATTTCGCAACTTCACGTGCTTTAAATTCGCCAAAATTTGACGCGGTTATCGCGTCAGTGACCTGCTATCTCGACAAGGATCACCGGTTCACGAAATACGGACGGATCCAACCCTATATGAAATGTCAAGTGTAAAATATGAGCCCGAACACAGTTGAAGGACTGATCACATCTCATTGAGCAAACAAATGTCATCCCAACGCAACAAGAACAGGGATATCATCCAGTCGCCATCGGGGAAATTTAATTAAAAACGTGAATGAACTAGTGTAGCGTATTTATTATTACAAACATGTGCTAAATATTATGTAATTATAATAATGATAATAAAAAGAAAAGTAATAAACTTGTTAACAGATAAATCTTTTATCAGGTATCTCCGTCAGGTCAAGTAGGCTGCGCGCCATAAACTATCCACTGGGCAAATACGATCGCGGCAGATTTCAGACCTTTGCAAAGAACGAACTGTTTTGACTGTCGGGCAAAGGACCAGTATCTTATTTGCTCTGATTACTCAGAGACTTGACAAGCTCACCGTCTTTGTCACTGAGCGTAGATCCAAAAGCCGATATAATGTAGTTGCACTTAAGACGAACCGTCTGCTCTTCATCTTCGACCCACGAACCGTCGTCAAGTTGTTCAGTACGGCAAAACAGAATTGATTTCAAGCGGCCATTCGGATGGCGTTCCACCGACCGCGGCGCCATGAATGGTAGAAATTCGCATGATTCCATTTTTGCTAATTCCATCTACATTTAGGAAGAAATTAGAAAATTAATTAGTATCTATGTCTTTAGGGTTTTCTACGTAGATGTTCATTTTTTCCCTAGAGCTGCACATAATGATTCGACTTAGCTACCTAACTTCTAGTTAGGTAAAGCGCATTGCAAAACGTCTAAGTACAAGATATGTGCAGATTCGGCACGTAAAACGCCTAAAATGACATCAAGAGATCTATCTTCTAACTTATTTTTTTGCACAGTTCTATTGTTTTCCAAAAATAATTCATGTAAGTTTTTCGAAAGAAGGGAGTCACATACAAAAAAAATCTGCTCAAATTTACCTCTTCAGGAACAGCGCGCACATTATTGAAACCTTTACGGAAGACGACAAAGACCCGCTTAGCTCCACATCGTAGAGCAGACGTAGCGCAGTCGAAGGCTGTATCGCCTGCCCCCAAAACAACCACCGTTCCGCTCAATGGCGGTAATTTTTGGCTCTAGAATATAAAGTGTAACCGATAAGAAACAAGATTTAGATGACGTCTGAGATGAACATGTGGCCACGTAAACACCATATGCGTTTGTATTTTTGTTAGATAGAAAAAATGAGGGGAATAGGCACGTACGACAGGTACGTATATGGCTCATCCTCGTATTGTTTGAAAACAAGTTAAGGTACACTAGTCTGTCAAATTAACTTCAAGACGTGTTTGAAGGGTCTACCTTGCATGCGCACATCCCTGGTTTGCTTCCAGCTGCAACGAGATAGAGGAAATCCTTGGACGAATAGTAGCCACTTTCAACGTCCAGACCATCGAATATCGGAATATATTTTGGGTCCGGCAGCCCTATAAACAAAAAAAATCCATGTTTGTCATATGTCTTTTGTTTATAGTTTTTTTATTTACCGATTATCTTCACTTGGATCCCAAACAATTGTAAAAGGAAGTGAAGCGAACTTAGGAAAAAAATATAAAACTAAAATAGTGTGAAAAATCTAATATTCTATCGGATGAGCATTTCAGTTAAGCTATGGTTGTTATTCTATAACATTCATAAGTTATGTACAGAGTCTGTGGTTCGTGCTGTCGCTAACATTGCATCCAGATCCGGTGTTATTTTAGCAAAAGATAGGTTAATTGAAGTGGCGATCTAAGCGAACCGGGCTGTTAAGAATAACAAGAGGAACGAACGCTAAATCAAAATATAGAAATTTGTATATTTTCTCACGTTTTCGTAAACTTACCAATTCCAACGAACACGGCTGTATAGCCTTCGTCTTTTAGTGACTGGATACTGTAATCTTTGCCAAGTTCCTTGTTAAATTCAACTTTAACCCCAAGGTCTCTTACTAACTGCAGCTCGAACGCCACAACTTTAAATGGTAGTCGATACTGTGGAATTTCTGCAGAGCTGGAATTGGGCATTAAAGCTTCTTTTTATGTAATTGTTCTGCCCTACTACGATAACGTGTGCCGCACAGCAATGTATGTGAACTTTTTTTTTTTCTCTCTAGGCATAATTAGCGCTTAATAAAGCTAAATAAGGCAAGGATAAAACAGAGAAGACTACTTTATCTGAAACCAATGTTCAATGGCTTGTCGCTTGTTGAATATTATAATGGCTTCTCAGATGGCATCACGCGAAAAAAATAACGTTGCCGGAAGGCTAGCAAAAAAACTACCCTACGAATACGAAAGCATACTAAATATACAGCCGAAAGGTATCGCTTCCTTCAGACCCGTTTTAAAGCTTCAGTCAGTTTCTGTGACGGTGTCCTTAGGTAAGAGTACCTGAGTCCTCCGAAGTAAGAGTGTTTTTCGAAGATCGTTAAGTTAGAGTAACCCATTCTAGCTAGAAATGTAGCGCACGACATAGATGCTGGACCACAACCAATTAGAGCTATCTTCGATTTGTATGAGTTGGGCAGATTCGTCGGTAGATCGGGCGGAAGCACTTGTGGTACCTTTTGATAACATGCATGTAGATAACACGTGATCGGATTAGTAAATTATCGAAAGGCATACACATTTAGTTTGCGTAAATTTGCACAAGAACGTTTGCGTTCTACAACTAACAAGGAGTTTCAGTTCAAGTTTTGCTATCGTTATCATTACGCTATGTCTGCATCACATTTTGCCGATAACTGTTTATTAGTCAACCATTCGAAGAGAAGAACGGCGTAATTTTAACAGGATAACGAATAATGGAGATGCTGCATATTGTACGCATACTCTTGGGGTAAATTACCTTCATGCGACGGAATACGTCGGTAGCAAACTGTTGCAATCCTCCTATATTTATGGGTCCTTCTTCTGTAGCATAGAGGTTGCAACCACCGACGCAAAGATCTGATGTTGGACAGACCATTCCGCAGGTCAAGCCGAGAGGATTATCCGAGAATATTTGTTTTGCGGCGCCATAATAGTTCTACTCAAGTGCAAGAAAAAAACATAATAAAATTATAATCTCGGAAACGATGTTCGATCTTTAAGTTCGTAGAGCTAAATCAACCTTTTAAGGACCTAACAAAAACAAGAAATTCAATAAATTAAAGATATTATTATTTTTCAATACCTTTTTTCAGAAAACCTCGATACATTGAGAAATCACTGCATACATAGTTAATTCACCTTTTGATGGGAGACATACTTTATTAGCGATGCAACTTATAAAGTGCTTAATGTCCAGCTGCGTAGGGCAGCTCTTCTGGCATGGGGCATCAGCACATTTCAAGCACCTTCAGATGAAATAATAACGAGACATCAGTAAAATACTCTAAAAGATTACAATATTTAAGTTCCCTTCTAATTCTATTTTTTAAATTTTAACTTCGAAAAATTCTAATGCTAAAACCTAGGCAAATTTGGTTTACGTCGAAAAATTGCTCCGAAATATGCGAAATGAATAACGGCCCATTGAATGCTTTAGAACGCCTTTTAATACCGTTTATATACAGGTGTGAATTGCTTCCTAACCATAAGAAAATTCTACAGGTAGCAGCATGTCATACAGAACGCACCTCCAAGCCTCCTTAAGAGCTCCTCGTTCGGATAATGTCGTAAGTTTTATGTCGTCGAAGTCTTTCTCCAAAGGTTTACACTCCTACAAACAAATTCGTTTTGTAAGCAATTGTAAAATGAATAGGATCTAAAAAATAAAAAGAGCAGATATTTTTTTGTATTCCGTATCATTTGCTGAAATAAAATTCTGTGTATCCTTTATGACCTCAAAGTCTTACGCCAACTCTTAATGATCGGGCTACGTTGTTTAGGCAGCTCATGCGCATTTCTTGAAATGCGCAATAAAGACCACAAACATGCGACTATCGCTAGTTCAACATTGAAAAAATAGTTGACATATGATTAGCACGCCGTTTCGTAAGTTTGTTGTGGAAACCCCCAGTTAAGTCTGGCAAAACCCACCCGTGTTAGACCCATCCATGATGCTATACCGAAGAGTTAAATGAGAAAAAAAAATGAAAAAAAAATCCTAACAATATTCACTGAGAGGGTTTTTTTCGGTAACAGTTAAAAAAATTTAGGCGAATCTCATGCAAAACATGTTGTTACTTTTATAGGCAGATATAAAGATTTTTGCGCCTACTTTTGGATAGTCGTCCTAAGAGGGTCAAGTTGTTATCTTATTGGGGGTGTCTAATCGATGGACTATTGATCGGTAGTTTAGGCAGGTCTACCATATTTACTGTTTGAGAATCCCATCCTTGACCGGCTTCCGAATTACCTGACAAAGCACGATCGTAACGACAATATCAACATGGTTCTTGGAAAGCTTGGCTCTATGCTATCTAGTTGGTTTCAATCTAAACAAAGCAGTGGTGTGCCATTATGTATACTGCTAACATGCGTTCGATATAGTGAGCCGCAAACTATTACTACGAAAGTTAAAGATCTATTATAAGTCTGTGAGGTAGATAGGACTACTTTCAAAACAGGCCCTTTAGGTTAGAATGAATTCGAAACCAAGCAGTATCTTACTACCTTTTCTACAAATAAGGACTTTACAGCGCGATGATCTTGAAAAAACTATGTCCGACGGAATATAGTGTATGAGCTGATGATTTAAAAATTCACACACTCATAGAAGACAGACATGGCATCAGTAAACCGCAAAAAAAACAACTGATTGTGTCTGAAAATGATGCCAGCCTCCGTAACTCTGCGTTCCCTTGGTCCCTGATATTTGTTACGACAAGTTAAGCGTTTACTGTTCATATAGGAAAAATTGTAACATTTGCTATTAAAGACTGTAATGCCATTGGTCGATACCTTGTCATGAAGAGACCTGCGCTTTGCATCCAAATCCAGCAAAATTTTCTTATTGCTGTGAAATAGTGTAGCCCTACTTAATTAAAACATTATAGCATTTGCGAAAGTACAATCGAAGTTTTTCAAGTGGACAGAAGTACAATGTTGTACGTAATATGTTTGTTCATAAACCTATACGGGGACACCTGCAAAAGTAAACCAGCCTTAATATTTATCACAAGAACTTAGGTTCCATTTTTCGTACAAATAATTCCAGGATCCAATCGCATGATATTACACAAAAACATTATAATCGTTCACCCATGGCGAGTGCTGCGCCCATTTAGGCACACGTACTCTTTGTACACTACAGTATCTAAGAAATACTTTTATCTTTGAGCATTTGAATTTTTCTGTTCGAAAAATAAAAAAAAAATGCCACTCACTAATTAATTTCCACTGGAATCCATTTAATAAGCGACAAACGATTACTTACTACCATAAAGTCAAAAATAACCGTTAATCGTGGTTGAAGGCGCAGTATCGATAAAGATTTGACTATATTACTGAAGATTGCAAAGATGGGCTTTAATAAATCGTATGCTATGTGCGATCTAATCAGGCGTAGGCTTGCACGACTGCGGCCGCTGCACGGCCGGTACTAGGCAAGTACTGGATTTCGAATTTCGCGCCCTTAACCTGCTAATTTTTTACAGCACCTGGATGGAAGCGAGGACACCAACAAGGTTACTCAAAAAAACTTATTTTACCGTGGCAATAAGACTGAAAAGAAAACAGGTGAAGCAATCATTTAAGAAGGCCAAAACTGTATGTCGAATAAGTTAATGCGGTTCTTTAGTTACATTTTAAGTAAGTACATTTTGCAATAAACGTAATTTCGAATTTTACGTGGCTCGAATAAATAATAATGGTTCACTTTCGTACGAATCTGTTGTATTTTGTTTGTCATATATATATAAATACTTCAAAAACGTATTTTATGACAGTATTGGACGGGTTTTTGGTTTTCACCGTCGAATGCGTGTAAGCCATGATAGCCACGTAACTACAGTATGTCTACTAAAAAACGTTGATTGAAAATGATTCCGCTTTAACTCCCACGTGCCCTATGATAATTACTATAGCTATTACTGGTCCAGTAGCGTACGAGCGACGGTCGCTAGTGTCGCGATCGCGAAGGCCTGCGCCTGAGCTTAATTCGATAGACCTGCCATATCTTGCAAAAAAATGACGCAAGCTTATGGTCGTAAGAAGCTCAAGCAATGCAGCATTGAAACACTGCGTAAAGTGCAGTAAGTGAGGAACTCACTTCTTTGCTATTTGAACGTGCTAAAAAACATCACCCTAGTGATGTGTTTCTTGTACACCTTTTTACATTAGGTTGCGTGACATATGAAGTACTACTATATTGATAATGCCATATTCCCTGAACGTCCACCTGTAATTCTTAGGTGACTGTTAAAGTGACGTCGACATTAACGTATAAGTACGCTACTGATACGTTTATTTAACATATTTTGAATAATAATAAAACACTTAAGGTATAACCTTATAGCTCAGTCATGGTGCCCCGTAGGTATGGCATGGCAACTTTGTTTAACTAATACAGAAGGATAAGACGAACATTACATTTGTCGTGTTACCAAAAGCATTTAAAAGCTCTCGATCAATCGATTGGTAGCGAGCTGCGCGTTTGTAGTAAAATTATTTGAGACACAAATGTGGTAAAATCTTCTGTATATTCATACTACAACTATTTATCTATTCAACTACCCAGTTCATGAAATTCGTCCGTTCATCTAAACTGTTCTTAGACGCAATTTTAGTTTCTTCGATAGACGATAAGAACGAATAACGCAAACAAGCGTTTCAACACCGCGAGAAACAATAGCCATAGGCGATATGCAGCAGATTCGCTATTGTGTATTTTACAAAAACACGACATATAAACACGACACAAACTTGTCGCCGTCCACGACTGATACGCAAACAAGTTGTAACGCCACCATTGCGAGTACCTGTGACGCGGTTCATAACAACTAAGTTATTCAAATGTAAACAAACCTTGAACTGTACCACACTGGTGTTAAGCTAGGTAAACATATCCGTGCCGGTTCGTATACGCCACAAAAAAAACTTTTTCCTTTAAATCTTTCCTTTTCATTTTCATTATCATGTCGAAACGTATGCATTTCTTTGTATGTATAAAATTCTTGTAGACTTAGTTTCTTTTCAAGTAAATGCTACAGTGAGGCAAACGGTGATTCGGTCTCTTATTCGTGAGTTTTAATAAACACTTGCCTCTGTAGGGATCAAATAAGCTTTCCTCATATGTTGGTATTGGCATATTTTACCAGTCGACGAAAAATCTCGTCCACCTGCTGAGGGCCGCCGCTGAATAGTTACCGTCCTTAAACAGTACCGCTCTCAAAAACGAAAAAGCAGACAGACGAGAAAGACGCGATTGAAGACACTTTTTACTTTAACGGTGGTAAGCAATACATAATAGCACTACGTGTGGCGCGCGGCAATCTCATTTAAACAATCCTTGCTACTGACACCATTTCGGCATCGCAAGATGAGAAGTACTGATAGCCTATCTGGCTCGACCAATAGCAGCAGTGGTAATTATTCCAGCAGCGTCGGACTTAACACTTCAAACGTTTACCTGAGTAATTGTCGTCTTATTCTACGTGTAGCTTTGTCTGATTTTCGTCTGCAATAAATCAACACTTTGACTAGCGACCACTGTAATAATTCCTTTTACATCACTCGTAAAGTGGTTTAATTTCTTTAGGACTAAGGGTTTTTCGTCGTCACTGAAGGATCCTAATTAATAATCTGTCGTATCTAGCTAGGTTTGCCCTGTCGCAAAACACTAAGAAGAAGGGGTGTCCTTAGTAGCAATCAATCGAAAGGCCTAATACTTTGTAAGAATTTTATGCATTTGATGCTTTCGGTTATGAAAAAAAAATAAAACACCGATACTACAAACCTTGCATTTGCTGTCCTCGTTTCGCTTCCAGTGTGCCTTGTTGATTCTCGTCTGAGCGCTAGGTACCAAATTGGCAAAATGTTTGACTTTTGGATTTAGAGCCAAAATATTCTGGAATACAGAAAAGTCGGTTAAATGCTTGTACATATGGTGCAAGCAAATCTTGTTAGGTGAGCATATAACTGGTTACACAGAAAACTTTCACATTTATTTCAGAATTCACTCATTTCTACAATGTGCTACTTGCTAATTTATGTTTAACAGCATAAATCGTACGAGATACCTTTTGCTAAAAATATATTGCACTAATGCGAAATGCGCCGTTCTCGCACATCTGCTTGCTATTCCAATTTTAAGATACTGGGTAGCCCACAAATAAGTCCAGATTTAATCAGGAACAAAGAGTTTAGAGCTGAGATCGAAGTAGATTGTCGATTGCGGCAAGTGAAGTGTTGTCTTCATTAAACTAGTATTTGCCCGATTTTCTCATCTTCCTTTTATCTCTATATCTACATGCATTGTTTGTACGTTATTCCTATATAACGATCAAGCGTGTCACTGACCCGGAAGCAGAAGTTTAGCTAGAGCTCAGGCTTTGAGTGCAGGTGGGCGACACGTTGGTTCGGGTTCGGATATAGGCGGACAAGCTTCGTTTCGAGGTGAGAGCCAGAATGTCAGCTTAACGGCGGCGCCGGATGTTCGTCGACTCGAGACGTAGGAAAACTTTACTAATTCGAACAACTTTTAACTTCTACTCTATTTTGCCTAGTCTGTCTAGTTTGTTAGTTTCCGTAAAGGAAATTAAGAAACTAGTCTGGAATATCCTTCCTCTGTGAGGCCCATATGGTGGAGACGATATGGCTTACGAAGTTCATCAACGGCATTTTGCAACTGGAAGATGCACACGGCCCCGGTCGGCCATTCAAGGCCGATGAAGATCGTCTTTAAAAGAAAACAGCGAACAGACAGCTTGCGAAATGGTTGGAGAAGGTGAACCGCAGTCGTATCACTAATTGAAGGTATTTTAAGTTTTTAGAATGAACTCAAATATTAGAAGTTAAGCGAAAGCCTTTAGCCTCTCATAGGGAATGACAGCTTTGTACGCAGGATTGTCACGCATGATGACAAGTGGTACTTCTACGCCGATATGAAGCTAGGAAAGGAACGTGTGGTTCCTGTAGAAACGCTTAAGGTCAGAGTTAAATCTGATCCCTACACTGAAAAGGCCATGATTGGCGTTTGATGGCCTTAGAAAGACTTTGTATTCCTATATATATATATATATAAAGAAACGGAACAAAAATGGTCCAAAAGAGCAACGGCGAACTCATAGTAAACAAATTCGAATTGCTCTAAGCTACGATTTAGTTTCCTCAAATCTAACAAGTGTCTACTAGTTCCGCGTATATGTACCTTTAATAAATTTGTAGAAATTATGGCACTTAGCATTAAATTTATGGAGGTAATTTCATGATGACTAGCTCTGATTGCAGTTGTTACATGGGACGGAGCTGAAGTATTTAAAACGTACAATCCTCATGAGCACATATTGGCCAGACCTCACACAAATATTACAACGTATCAGTCATATATACACCTCATGCCGTTTAACCTCTTGCGGCTGTATTTCGAGACAAAGTAAAAGAGTACGTACAAGTGTTGGAGTCAGTATTGAGAAGAAATCTGAATGATTCCATAACAGGTTACTAATTAACACATTCTGTTAACTAGCATGTTTTTTGCGCATGAATAATGTTTATCTACTTACATACAACTAAATCTTGTCCCATCTATAAGCCTATCATTATTTAAATCTCAAATATGCCTGTGTCCTTGTATCTACATACTCATTTTTGGCCGGTATGTTATAAAGTCGCATGTTACTGCGAAGCTGGCAGATAGTAAGAATTTGAAAAAATCAGAGATACGACAGTTCAGAATGTTCGACTTCGCTACTCTTCGATGACAATGAAGACTTTTTCGTTTTTTTTTTTTTTTTTTTATGTTTATGATTATGAATAACAGCAGCGAAGTATAACAAATACTGAAAGATGGCAGTGGATGGAAACTGCAAATTGGGCATTCAACGCTTATAAAACGAGAGGTGTAGCTTAATTGTAACTAGCTTTTTTGTCTCGGCTGCCGAAATAGTCGTAGAACATTTGAAAGAAGTTACGAACTAGCTTTGTTCCTGATTAGCAAATTGTTTTAATAGAAAATAGGTTTCCTATGCTTGTACATCTATTTGAACAAATCATGATTAGGATGGTTTCGTTTACTCATAGGAGAATATTAGGACAGTTCAGAAAGCCAATGGAAAGCGTCTATCATGGGAGGCCGTTGTGCTTCCAAACAGAGCTTTTGGGAGACGCTTTGCCATTAAAAAGTACCAGCACAGATCTACGCCTGCTCGAAGAGATCGGCAAACTTTTTTTATACAAAGAATACGTTCTCTTTGCAATGTATTGTGCTAGACCTCATGTGAACGTTATGTGGGCGTTTTCGAAAACCGTTCCGTTTCAGTTGATCGTTCTGTGACAACGTTCAAGTTTTTTTCCAGTTACCTAAGCTGCGTTTGTGTACCACTTGAGAGAGTCCTGCTTGTTAAGCAGGCTCTTTCTTAGTTTAGCTTTGCCTTGCTCTCACAGTACCGCCCTTTTTGACGCGACGATGAATCGAATAACATCGAAATTGAAAAACAAATGGCCTTGCAAACAAGGCTGCACAGTAGTTATGAGATAAATTAAATCGAGTACCAAATTTCTACAATAAAGGACGGATTAGCATTAGATTCTGCGGACCAACTGCAGACATAGAAGTCTGTGACCAATGAACGAGGGAGCACAACGTTTGCCGTCCGATATCAAACAACAGACGAATATAATACCGTTACAAATGAAACAGATGCTCCTTACAAATGATGCACGAAATATATTCAGAGTACAATAACCCAGACATGCGCACTGATCAAGAAAACCAGAAGCTTCTCGGTCTTCTACAGTCTGTTTAGCAGACACTATTGATGCTGGCTCGAAGTTTCGACCGAATTAAATACGTGGAGCATATTGTTTTAAAGCTAACTTTAGATGTAGAAATACAGGGCGCGGGTTTGACAGTCCCGCCTATTCTTTCGATTATGTCCACAAACAGCATTCCGCATATGAATGGAAATGATTTTTGCAAACGTTAGAAATAGAATTAATTTATTTAATTGCTTAGCAGAGGTAAACGTTTATCTGTACATTCATGAGCTTATCGGCTCGACCGCTTCAACTGTGTACGACCAGGTGAGGTGTCATCTCCGTAAATCCATTAATGCAGTTTGTGACGCACGTACCTCAATGTCGGGCGGGTCAACACTAAGTACTCCGTTGTTGATGGGCGCCATTGCGTTAATTTCCGGTTACGCCGGTGCTCGATTTACACTAGTTCGCCTTATCCGTCAGCTTGCAGCTCAAAACAGTATGGGTCTGCTCCCAGCCGTTCCTTCAAAAGCTGACGAACGGCTGCGGAACAAGAGGAGGAGAGGACCCTGCAGTAGATCGGTGTGACACGGTTACCACTGCCGCGACCTCGGCTGCTATTGTACCTACCGACCGTCGCTAAACAACTCCGATAGCTCCACTGAATAGTTGGAAGCATAAACGGTGGAGCCGTCGAGACGTTTTGGACCAACTGTCGCGTATCACACAAACTTGACTCCTTAACAGCAACATATCAGAGGAAAAGTAGCAGAAGCCCTGCAAGTTATCAATTCATTACGGTTGTTAATAGAAGTTTACTGAAGGTAAACTATTACCACCACAAAAAACGACGAAAATAACGGAGCGTACGTGCTCCGTACTGCGGCTGTGTGTGAGACGATTGGCGAGGAGGCACACGGAGGAAGGTAAGGGCCGCTTCCACTGCATTTTGCCACCAGTCTACTTGATTAAAGAAAAATAGTGACATTAAGGGGCGGTGAGGCCTAGCCAAAATCCTTGTACGCTGTAATATTCGGTGAAATGACAGCGTACCATACAAAGATAGTTGGACATCACTTCTAATGTCCAATTATCTTTAATATATAATCAGTTATTATAAGTACAGCAAAGCTAATCGTTTTATAACTGGGTCAGACGCAAATTTACTGCAACAGCCATTCTTATAAACCGTGTCATCGTACGTGGCTTCTGACTCATTTCCATAACCCGGTCTGATCAAGTCGAGAAACGCTAGTCATTCTATTGCCACTTATACAAAATACGCCATACTTCATAACGAGGCGCAGCGATACTAATTTCGACATATACCTTAGGGAGAATGCCAACAGTAAAAATTATCGTACTGCGCCTTGAACGAATGGTTTGTGATAGGAATAAAGTAGGCGATGAAAGCAGAATAAAGGCTGAAAACCTTGCACATACCTTTTTAATTACCTATGGTTTTCGATAAACTTCGAATGACCTGAACACGGCAAATATATATTAGTGAACTGCTGCTATCATCTGGCACGTACGTACGTACGTACCTACCTACCTACCCACCTACCTATGTAATACTACTATTCATCTAATCTCTACAAGAGGCATCCAGACGTTTTACCGGGCAGCGTGGTCTACGTGACTCACAGAATGTGAAAAGGAAGTGTTTAAACGTTAAAGAAGATCGTGTTGCCACACCGCTGGATAAGCGATACCGCAAAAATCTATATAACAATTTTCTCGGATATGTTGCGCTAAACTATTTGTGGCCATTTTACTTATTCGAAGGCCATTGTCGGCTATTTCAGTAGACTGACAAGCAAATTGGATAAGCCAGCCCAAGTGTACGACAAACACAAACTTTGTGGAATCGCTTGGGACAACAACACATAAAAATCAAATTCAAAAACTATCTAGTAGAACATAAAGCTCTTCTACATTTTTTTAATCACTTTTTCTATATTTTGTTTTAGGATACGATGTACAAAGCAGCACTCTCTTCGGCGCTAGGGCCCGGGGAATGGATGATGGCCAGGTAAGAATTGGCTGTATGGTTCAATGAGCCCTTTGGTCTTCAGCCCCATTTCTGTGTTTTTACACAGAACACACAACGAACTATATATGCACAACAAAGCATCATCGTCATCATCATCATCGTCGTCGTCACTGTTTTGTCAATACAGTATATCACAAATGCGCCGATGAAAATAGAAATTTGTTTGTCCACTGCAAATTATCGTAACAATTAACAGCTTTGGGAATCTAGGGAGATTGGTTGCACCGTTATAAAAAAAAAAACAGAACCCTTCGGCAAGGATAGCCACGCCTGTTGGTACATCGAGTTTTGGTTCTACCAGCGTGGTAGACCCTAATTGGCATTTGTGTGCTTACGAGAGTGCGAAGGGTTACGCACTCCCTTCTTCCTGTAGCTGTAATTAATTGTGTGATCAGTTCTCCTTTCGTCGAAAATTACACGAAGCCGTCGTGTAGAGTCGGCAAAGATATTTAATAAAGTAACTGGAATTCATGCACAGCTCTTTCGTGAGAAATATAATCTTCGACGTGAAATAGGGATGAACATATTAATCATTAAAACCAAACTTTTTCTATAGCGTTTTGAGCACCCCCCTACTCCGAAAGTGCGTCTTCGCCGCTTGCTGGTCTACTCGTGGTAGAAAAATCACCGAAAGTAACTGAATCAAAGGGTAGGCCAGGTCCGATACCAAACGAATTTTGCTTGGAGGTAATAACATAATCACTCGACAAATTGTTAACGGCTAGAGCAACAGCCTCTGCTCATGCAGCGATTGTATCGCCTGACCAGTGGTCTTTAACAAATTTTTTTTTAGTATTGGTACAATTGCGAAGGACGGCGGCAATGTCTTGGAGGGAAGTGAATTAAGGCTCATGCCGCGGGTTCGACTATGGCGTGCTAAATGTCACTCTAATTTTTTGAGTGCCTCAAATAGTGTTGAACTGTACAATGTACTGCTCGATGTGGCCAAACGATATCCGTTGTCTGGCGAGGATAACCAAGGAAGAAAGGCCTTTTGAAACAGCCATCCTTGAACCATGTTTGATTAAAGGAACGCGTCAGAATCGATGATAATAGAGTGTTTTGCTTAAAGTGTTTCATTTCTAGCTTTCATAAGTTTTACGAGTAGTAGTAAGACGAGTATAAACATTTCTGCTACGACGTGGAAATAGGTAGTACTGTGCTTCGGATTGTGGGGTTTTCCCTACACGACTTAGCTGATGAATGTTTCCTTGAACAATTCTGGTTTAGATGAAGCCCTTAAGCGTACCTTTATGTCCTATTACATTGCTATTTAGGATAAAAGGCCATTTGAATTTATCCTAACTTGTTTTATACAATGGTTATTTATATGAATAGTGTGTCAGGGTCATCTATGTGTGTGTTGACGTCTTAGTGAGCAGCTTTTGACAGAGTGGTAGCACTTCGCGCCAATGATGCCCTGGATCAGATATTTACATGTTCAGATGTTTAATCCGCTGCCGCTTTTCGTATTTAAGTTGAATGAATATATACATCCGCTTGAATATAGTGTGCATGTGCTAACTTTGCTATACAACCATATATATAACCATGCTCAGTGAGATTTACTTCGGCTAAATAGAAATTCAACATTAACGGTAAATCAGCATATGGTCGCGTCTTCAGCTGATGTACCGATCATAAAATCGTTCATTTTCAGAGGGAATTTCTCGCCAACTTTTCGCATACGATACAATTTTTGTTGCATATAATGTTTCTGATAAATTTTCTGTTGAGATGCTTCAACATGGCCTGGATCTGTACAGATATTTGACTTTATTAAGATGACTAACATCTATAGAATCTATACATAATAGGGGCACTCCAAACAAACTACTGTGCCCTGTATATGATACACTAATTAAAAGTTGAAATGTCGTTCAATTTAGGTCTACTGCCAAGCAAAGGCTCTGGGCGGTTCACGTCGGTCAGCGCAAGCACGCAGTGTATATCTGCGAGCTTGTCACTCGAGGAGTCGCTTTCCATACAGTCAGCACTGATGCCATCTAACAAATATTATATA